GGGAGCCGCAGCCAGCCCCGCGCGCTCGCCCGCAGTACGTGAGTGACCGGAGGAGAAGCAGCAGGGCAACCCGCCAGTGAGCTGGGGCCCTCGGTTCCAGGGGTGCCTGCCTCACAGTGCTCTATTTACATTAATTACAGAAATTCCATATATATTTTTCTCTGCAGCCCAATTAGACAAATATCTACCTATATATAGTATATCCTGCCTCACAGTGCTCTATTTACATTAATTACAGAAATTCCATATATATTTTTCTCTGCAGCCCAATTAGACAAATATCTACCTATATATAGTATAAAAAATACAGAGATTTGACTTTTTTTTTTTTTTTGGAAGTAAAATGTAAATGATCCAACTGTGAGGAGGAGGTAAACCCGAAAACTCAGGCCTGTTGCTACCGAAGTTAACACCGCACACAACACCGCTGTCACGTGGAGCTACGTCCTCTTCCTCCAACCCATAAAATGATCCACCCCAACCCAAGTCAGGAAAAAAAAAAAAAAACACCAACCAACCCACCCAAGCACTCAAAACACGTTCTCATGGAAAGAAAAAAAAAACCCAACAAACATTTCAAGTAAAGATGAGGATGGGTTTCACCATTTCAACAGTTCCGTGACTGCAGTCAGTAGCAATGCAAACAAAGCCTGTGCAACGGCAGCCGTGCTTCCTCTTTCAAAAACCACCCAGGCTGCGTAGTTACCATCTTTGGGGTCTTGTTGCCTTTTTTTTTTTCCTTTTTTTTTTTTCCTTGTAAATACCACTAGCAGTTCTTCAAAAAAAAAAAAAACCCCCAAAAAAAATCTAGACAAAGGGAAGAATCCTTCCCCCCAGAAAAATCTTCCCAGGAGCGGGAGAGCTTCCCATTTCTCTGTCCATTTACAGTATTTCAGGGGAACTTGGCCCAGGTTCAACAGGACTGTCCACTGAAGGAGGGTCGCAGAAAGGCCAGGGCTAAACTTTGCTCTTGGCAAATTAGAGTCTTTAATAAAGAGTAACATGTGCAAAAAAAAATTAAATAGATCAACCCAGGTTTCCAGAATTACTGCTGTCAGAATGCTTACTTTCTATTTGTGTTCTCACCTTACCCAATGCTGAAATCTCAATTAAGTACCCGAGGTCAAAAATGACGTTTGGGAGAGATCACCACAAAGAGGAAAAAAAAAAAAAACCCCGAGAGGTGCAATCTGTTACCTCAGTGTCCTTCCTCCACCCAGACGCCTGCTTTAAAGACATGTACGCAGCAGCAAAAAGAAAAAGAGTGTAAGAACATCCCCTTCTCTCCGTGAGGACAAAGCGCTGTTTCTAGCTGTTTGAAGGAAGAATCGTTTCCTAACAGGTGGAGTGGGTGTTTAGCCTTCCGTTTGCAAGGAGGGGATGGGACGATCAGCTGCTCCCAGTTGCTTTCCGGCAAGTTTGTGGTGTTCTTTTCCCCCCCTGGGGAACATTATAGCTGGAAACCTTCCATGGGGGCTTCAGGTTGCTGGAAGATGAATTGCTGCTGGTTCTCATCTACCTGGGGAGCTAGAGCAGAGTCATCCTCTACTCCAAAGTAGTGCTCAATCAGGTCGAAGGCCTTCTGGTAGATCTCTTGGTTCTCGTGGCTCTGTAGGAACTCTATCTTATCCAAACCTTGGAGGGGAAAAAAGTGGAACGCGATGAAACAAGGAGATCCTGATAATTCACACTGTCCCACATCCATCCTCCACCCTTGCCCCTGTTCACCGCCAAGACCCTTGTCTGTGTTAGATTTGCATTTTCTGAGCAGCACTGACATCTAAAACACTATTCCAGAGCTGCTGGTGGATTTCTTCTGTATCAGGCAGCATCAACGTCTTTTCAATAGCAGGTTTAGCTGACACAGCTAAAGCAGACGCGCTCCCAGCTCTCTGCTGGAGACTAAACCAGATTTCGGCGAAATTAAAACAACTGGCTGTGAACAGTTTGGTAGTTGCAGGGGATAGGGAGGGGAAGGAAGCAGGGCCCGTCCCCGTAGCCTCCAGCAGAAGGGCAGCAACTGCTTTAGCTGTCCTAATTAAATCCGCTGCTGAACAGAAAGCATCCAAGCACAATAAACTCCCAAGAATTTCAAGAATTATTCTTACTGGGAGAATCAGGACACACAATGTAACAGTCAGCGAGAGGGCAAAGCAGACACTGGCAGTATAGAGGGAGTTTCAGACCAAAATAGGAACTGCTCTTCAAAGCATTAAGAGCAGGACAAAAAAAACCACCAAATTAAGTCGCTCCAGGGAAAAGCTAAGTCTCTCTGGATTCCCACTATACATCTACAGAGTACAGCTGGGTACAGTTAGAGCAATCAGACCCAGAAGTGTCACTTTTTACTTAGCTCAGCTTATTTCCGATTAATACTCCCAACTGGTGCGAGCCACAGTTATCAGCTCGGCCTCCAGCTCCAGGAAGCTTGGATCAGAAGTATGATAAGTTTCTACTTCAAGTGTTTTGTCCTACGCCCAGTCACAAGAGTCTGAAGAGACAGACTATCGGAACAAATATTGGCTGCTTTAGAACATACTAAATCCCTTAACACAGCAGAAAAGCGACCAACAAAACTAGCAGACACCTTTCGATACATCCTGTGGTGTTGAAGTCAATAGCACCGAGGCCACCAGCCACCACCTACCATAGGCCTCCTCAATCAGGCTACAGTACGGGTTGATGCCTGTCCCACTCTGGTTGGCTTCCTGCTCTCCAAGCCTCAGTATGTTCTCCAGGCCGTTCAGCGCCACCTGAACAATCTTGGAGTCCATGACAGTCAGCAGGTCACAAAGAGGCTTGATGCAACCCAAGTTTACCAAGTATCTGAAGAGAGAGCACCGACAACACACACTTCTTGTTCAGGATCTAGCAAGCATCGCCTTTGCTCAGTTAGAAAGAGCAAGGGAAATGAGTCAA